AGCCGGCCATGGCGAGCTTGGACATGGCGAGCCGGCCCATGGCGAGCCGTGGCGCCACACTCTCACCCGAGGTGAAGAAGGCCTGCTTCTGCTGGGCTGTGATGTCACCGGCGGCCTCGGCGGCGGCGGCTGCCGAGCGCAGCAGCTCCAGAAGCCGACCTTCTGTGAAACGCCAGGAGAGCACGTGGTTGTCACGCTGCGGGCTGCTCGCAGGTCGAAGGTCGCAGTAGTGGGGGAAGTGGGCTGTGATTGGCTGCAGGACGTAGGTCGGCGGGACGGCGTTGGCGTCCTTCAAGTACCACTGTGTCAGCAGCCCGACGCCTTCGGGGTTCTTGGAGAGTTTGGACAGAAGGACCTCAAACTGTTTCTCCTCGATGAGACGAGGAAGAGCCCGGTGGCCGTATCGGTTCCCCAGCAGGCCCTTTGGAGCCCACAGGAAGAGAGGAAGAGTGAGTGGAGTTCCTGCTGAGGCCCCGCCCCCTCCTGAGGAGACAAACCCTGAGGAACCCTCACAGTGAAAGCAGGGCCGGCCGAAGTCCTCTGACACATCTGGAGCTCCTGCAGGCAGATCTCAGGGACTTCGTGGTCCCCAAACGGGACGTTCTTCATCCCCCATCGCAGATCCACCACCTAAAGGGACAGAAATCCAAATCCAGAGGTAGAAACCTCTGAGCTATACCTGAAATGGCCTTAAATTTAACCACAGCTGGACCCTCAGCCATGGTTCTCCAGGCTTCTGCCCCCTAAAGGCAGTTGTTTCCTCCCTGTGTCTCCTAGAGCTGCTCTTGGTGGAACTGTTCTTCTGGAAATAACTCAGAGTCTGAGCTGCTCTGTTTGGAAAGCTGGGAGATACCTATCATGGGATGTGGCGCTATAGAAATAAAATTGAATTGAATTGAATAGTCCAGGTTCAGTTTAACTCAGTTGGGGGTGCACCAGAGGACTAGTGGTCTCCCCGGCTCCATGTCAAAGCCCCCAGGTGTGACAGAGAGGAAGGAGGCTGGTTGTTTTAGCTCTGTTCTTTAGAAGAAGAAGAAGGAGGAGGAGTCTGTAGTCAGGAGGTCATAATGTTCTGGCTTTTGTCTGAAACTGGACAGAGAACCGGATTAACTGACCTCAAAGAGCAGCCCCAGGCTGCGGCAGAAGCTCAGGACCTCTGGGTAGGCCTTCTCCAGCAGGGCTCTCCTCTCGCTGCTCATATCTGAGTACAGAGCAGAGGGTCGGGGGTCACAGCACCACCCAAACCTCAGCCGGAGATCCTCTACTGGGTCTCATTCGCCGCCTTTCAAACTCCAGAAAAGGTTGGATGTTTAAGTCACTGAAGTTTGAATTCTTCCACTTATTCAAGGCTCATTTCAGGCTGAATATTGGCTGAAGGAACATGGGAACAATCCAAAGAGGACATTTCCTCTTTGGCCCTGACCTGTGAAGGTGGAGCTGAGGAACACTCGGACCATGTTGGACTTCATCCTGTGAGCTCCGTCCTGCAGGCTGCCGTCTGGATGTCCTGCCATCGCCTCCCTCCCGGAGCCTCCCTCCTTCTCCTCTCCTTCCTCCGGCTGCTGTGCCTTCCTCCTCCTCTCCCGGCTGCCTCAGAGAGTCTCCTCACAGCAACCTGTCCCCAGAGGGGCTGGAGGCGGTCCTCTGAGTACCTGTTTCTGTCATGAAGGCGTCCAAAACACCGTCCTGACTAAAGCTCCGCCCCCCCCACAATGAGGTCACCATGAACCTATTAGTGTGGATTATTAACACCAGAGAGGAGAGCAAAGGAAAGTGGCCCACTACGACCTTTGTAAAAGCTCCCTTTTGTCACAAAGAGCTGGTTTTGTGGCAGAAAATGGGCACAAACTGTGATGTGAGGGTGGTCTGTACGACCAGAGCCCGACCAGATGTCATCCTCTTAGTGAGTGAGAGCAGGTCTTCCCTTAGACAGGGAGATGGCCTGGCATCACCTGGTCACCACATTGTGGCCTTTCCTGAAGCAGGAGTGACAGCATTTGAAGAGGAAGAGTGGAGCTGGAGAGTGAACAAAGACACGGCGCCATGTGTGTAATGCTGGAAAAGCTCTGGTCTTCTAAAGACTCTTTGTCTTCTAAAGCAGGGGTCTTCATCATTTTCCAGGCCAAGGACCACCAAACTGATGGAGGGGACCCCTATTGTAATATATATTGTCTAAAATTGTGTCATATCAAACTGGGCCTATAGTGAGTAAATGTCCCTTGTTATTGGGCATTCAGTACTAAGATCCTCAAATAATCCTGAATAATACATAATACACAATACAATAATACAGAAAAAGGCAGAAACAGCAGGAAAAAAATAGAAAAGGGCAGAAAACAGCAGAAAAACATCATAAAGCGAGAGAAAAAGGCAGAAAAAAAACAGAAAAAGGCAGAAAGAAGTAGAGAAACAGCAGAAAGAGCCAGAAAAACTGTAGCAAAACATCAGAAAGAGCCAGAAAAAGGCAGAAAACGGCCTAAAAACATCATAAATGTGCCTTGTTATTGGGCATTCAATACTAAGATCCTCAAATAATACAAAATAATACAGAATACAATAATACAGAAAAAGGCAGAAAACTGCAGAAAAAAAAACAGAAAAGGGCAGAAAACAGCAGAAAAACATAAAGCAACAGAAAAAGACAGAAAAGGTAGAAAAACAGCAGAAACAGACAGAAAAAGGCAGAATACAACCCTAAACAGACTAAAAAACGGCCTAAAAACAGTCTAAAAACAGCCTAAAAACAGTGTGTAATGTCCCTTGTTATTGGGCATTCAGTACTAAGATCCTCAGATAATCCAGAATAATCTAGAATACATAATACAATGATGCAGAAAAAGGCAGAAAACAGCAGAAAAAGGCAGAAAAAGATAGAGAAAAAGCAGATAAAGGCAGAAAAAGAGCAGAAAAGGGCAGGAAAACAGCAGAAAAACATCATAAAGCGATAGAAAAACAGTAGAAAAACGACAGAAAGAGAGTGTGTAAATGCCTCTTGTTATTGGGCATTCAGTACTAAGATCCTCAGATAATCCACAGGTTGATATCTTCCTGTTTTTCCTGTAAACATCTGGTTCTGGTTCCTGGTTGGTGGGACAGGTGTGGTGAATGAAACGGGGCCCAGCTTGAAAGAGCTCCTGTGTGATAGATAGATAGATAGATAGATAGATAGATAGATAGATAGATAGATAGATAGATAGATAGATAGATAGATAGATAGATAGATAGATAGATAGATAGATAGATAGATAGATAGATAGATAGATAGAGCTCCTGTGTGTGTCTGAATGTGAGCGTTGATGACTGGAAGACATTTTCTGCCTCCATTTATCTGTTTACTACAGTCTGTTGGACTCATCTTCATGTGGATTTAAACACATTCACATTAGTTTTACAAAAGTCTAGTCAACCAAAACTTTGGCGACCCCCATGCAATACCTCCGGGACCCCCTAGGGGTCTCGGACCCCCTGTTGAGGACCTCCGTTCCAAAGGCCTGTGCAGAACTCTGCTTTAGTTGTGCTCAGCTTCATGTTTTCCTCCAACCAGTGGACTCCCAGACTGCAGGGGCTGTGTCTTGGAGGGAATCTTTATGGGCAAAACCTGTTTTATTTTACCTCCTGGCTCCAGCTGAGCTCGCCTGCTCTCAGCTGAGTGTTTACCGAGCAGGGCTATGGGGAGAGGGGCCCTCAGGGGCCGCCGCTCACAGCTGCTGCTCTGGATCATTACGCCCGTCAGGACGGAGGGAAACAGGCGTGCACAAACTGTTACAAGGCTGGGACATCACCCAGCTGCTGCCTCCACGTCCCAGGCATTTGTTTTCCTTTGAATTTAGTCCAATTTATGACCACTTTCTATGTTTTAGAATAAAAACAAGATGCAGAGAAGGACTGAGGCCAAAAACAATAGTGAAAAACAGGAAATAACTGTCAACTGGGCCCTCCAAACTGCCCCTAAAGTAACTGTGTGGTTGTGTGTCTCTGTGTCCCTGTGATGGACTGGAGACCTGTCCAGGTTGGACCCGCCTCTCACCTGTAGCCAACTGGGACAGCCCCCCCCCCCACCCCCCTGTTACCCTGATGGGAATAACAGTAGAGAAAATGGATGAATGGGCAGAAAGAGGCGATTCTATATTAACAAAACTTCCCAGAAAAAGGAGTCAGGCTGGAGATGGAAACTCAGCTGGGCGAGAAAAAATGAGCTGAATCACATGAAAAAGTTTCAGTTGTGTCCTGGATTTAAAGTTCCCAGTGGAACCACATAGGGATCGCTCATTTTGGGGCTTGGGCTGTGATGGGACATCCAAACAAACAGCAGACTCTGGAGGCAGAGGGCTGTTTGCTGCCTGTTTTTATGAGCTGTTTGCAGCACAGCTTTTCCTTCAGGCTGTTTTGACCTGCAGCTCTCTGAGGACGTCACACCTTTAGCTTCAGCTGGGAGCTCCACCTCTTTACCTGCTAACAGCCACAACAACCAGTTGGAACACAACACCACCACTTCAGGCCCCGTCACCACCAAGTCTAACTAACTTAAATAAAAGAAGAACTTCATCTCTGTTAACCTGATTCTTTAGTTGGAAACCTGAGAATAAGCCAGAGTAGATCAAGAGTAAAACATTGACATTTATTGGGTCACAGTTAAGTGTATCAGCTGGGCTCATGTGAAAATCTCATCAAAAGTCCACTTTAAGCTCTTTAAAATAGGGAGTCTCTACAGCTGCTTCCTGTTTATGTGGTGGCTAAAGATGTGAGACTGGTCAGGAACCATTTGACAATAATTTGACTTTATTGACATTTACATTACATAACATTAAACTTTGGTTGTTGTATGGTTCAGTGTTAGATTCAAGTGGGAAATAATTACATCTTAACCGTCGCTGCAAACATTTTCTCCAACCAAAAGCGGAACTGAAGTTCTTTCCGTGTTTCCACCGGACCGCACAGCCTACGGTCCGGCGGATGTGAGTGCTAGCCGCGTTAGCTTGGAGTCAAAGTGGAGGCTGTCCTGTTGAATGTGGGCTGGAGATCAGCGTTTAGCCTGAGATGTCTTGTGTCCAGCCTCTGAGAGAGTTCATCAGCCGGCGGCTCGCTGCTGCCGCCACAGAAATCTGCGCGGAGTTAGAAAAAACCCTCATCCGGTACGAGGACCAGATCCATGGCCAGCGCAGACTGCTGGAACTCACCTGGAAACCTCAAATGACCCTGAACGCAGCAGGTGGGGTGCAGGAGGTGATTGGGTTGTTTTAGCTGAAAACCCCTCTGGGGTTCCTCTGACCGGGGGGCTGGGGGCTCTGGGGAACAAAGCAGAACTTTCTGGGTTTCCCACAAATTGCTGCTCCCTGTTTACAGCACATAGACCCACCATCTTAACCTTTGACCCTCATTTGGACAGCTCTGGAGCCGGAGAGCTGTTACTCATGCTAACAGCACCTGTACGGTCTCCTGGTGAACGTGAAGGCAGACAAATGTTGCCATGATCACATTTATTTCCCATCTGAAATCTAAGCAATGTGAAACTCTGATGGCAGTTTTCTTAAGCTCACATTACAAAACTTCTTCGCCTCTCTTTCTTTTTCATGTAGACCCCCCCCAGCAACAGGACCGCAGCCCCAGCCGGGACCCGGAGATCCAGGAGTCCTCTGTGGAAGAGTGTCCCAGTCCCTCCAGTCTGGGTGGAGAGGGTGGACAGCTGGTTCTGGAGGAGGAAAATAAGACCGTTATGGTCACAGAATCAGGCAGAGATCAGCTCCTCTGTGGAGCAAAGAGCTGTGGTCTCAAAGGAAACGAGTTGGAGATAATCACAACCAGAGAACACAACCAACAGTACAGCCACACATCTCCCATGTCAGAGAGTGGAGGTAAGATGTCCCTAAATTGTAGAGGCAACTCTAAAAAGGTGTGTAATTATGTGTATATATATTTACATTTTGTGCCTATACAAACACACATATGCACTTATCTATATACACATGCATATGTGGATGTACATGTACATTAATTTGTATGTATATATAGCATACATTTTAATGCACAAGTATGTATGTTTGTCTCTCTCTCTCTCGCTATATATATATATATATATATAAATCATGGCGGGTCTGACATTGTCATCATAGGTGCATGTCCACTGTAATAGACATAATTTAAAAAAGATATATATATATATACATATATATATTGACTGTGATGACTATCAGGAAGTGTAAATGACCCATAATCGCCCGTATAAAGTTTGATTATGAAAGAACCTGTTCATATTGTCAGGTTCGTGTAGAATTCACTGCTGTGTTTCTTCAAACCTTTTCTCTGTCTCTGTAGCCCTACAGCAGCAGGACCGGAAGGACAAGCTAGTCGTTGATCAGCAGATCTTCAGACTCCAGGAAGCAGAACCGCTGCACATGAAAGAGGAGCAGGAGGAGCTCTGTACCAGTCAGGACCAAGGCCAGCTCGCTCTGAACGAGACCCATATTTCCATTGTGACTATTAATTTCGACGAAAGGGACCTTAGTGATCATGGGCTAAGTTGTCAGAACCTCCTCATTCCAGATACTACTGTATCCAAGAGCAAATATCAGGAAGGGATCGATTGGTCCGGACCTGGACCAGAAAACAAAAAGGGAAACGACTTTGATCGAGGTCAAAGAAATGTTATTGACAACTTTCCCATGTCACAAAGTCACTGTAATATTAAAACAGATACAAATTCTATCAAATGTGACGTTTGTGGGAAAGCCTTTAAAAACAAGTATCTTTTGAAAAACCATCAAAGAACCCACACAGGTGAGCAGCACTATTCTTGCAAGAGTTGTGATAAAAGTTTTACCCAACTCAGTAATTTGACATACCACATGAGAATCCACACGGGTGAGAAGCCGTTTTCCTGTAACACCTGTGGGAGGAGTTTCAGTCAAAGTGGTAGCCTGACAGCTCACATGAGAACCCACACCAGGCCATATCCCGGTAACATGTGTGGTAAAAGTTTCCAAACAAATGATGACTTGTTGAGCCACATTAGAAATCACACAGCTGAGAGGCCATATTCGTGTAAAACATGTGGTAAAAGCTTCAACAAAAGCTTTAACTTGACTGTCCACATGAGAATTCACACGGGTGAGAGACCTTATTCCTGTACGATGTGCAGTAAAACCTTTAAAAGAAGCGATGACTTGTTGAGACACAGTAGAACTCACACCAAGAAGAGACCCTACTCCTGCACCATGTGTGGTAAAGGTTTCACCCAAAGCTGTCATCTGATTGTCCACAGGAGAACTCACACAGGGGAGAGGCCGTATTCCTGTGAAACATGTGGGAAATGTTTCATTCAAAGCTTTAACTTGACTGTCCACATGAGAACTCACACAGGGGAGAAGCCCTTCTCCTGTAACACTTGTGGGAAACGTTTTTTTGAAAATCAGTCTCTGAAAATTCACATGAGGACTCACATGGGTTAGAGGCCCTATTCCTGTAAAATGTGTGGGAAAAGTTTCACCCTAGGTATAAAAATCTGACTCCTCATGAGATTTGATACAGTTGAGAAGCTTTCCCCTAAAAATTACGTGTCAGCCAATGTCTAAAACCCTGTCACTAATCAGTGTATTGTACTCAGTAATTTTGAAAATATTTTCCTGGAGATTTTACGTTTGTCTTAAAATATTTTTGTTAAAATAAAATGTTTGAACAATACCTTTAATAGTATAAGGTGGAACGTAAGCAATCTATGTATGTGTGTGTGTGTATATATATATATATATATATATATATATGAATTTATTATGTATGAGTATTTCTACATATATATGTAGATGTGTCATGTGTGTATACATATGTGTATTAATATTCATATACATTTATATATGTATAAATATAGGTATATATATATATATATACATATACCTACATATATAAATGTGTATGAATATATATATTTACACACATATATCCCCACATATATGTACATATGTATACACAGACATTCAAATTTGTACATCATGTACATGACCCACATATACACATGTGTGTATATTTGTGTATACATATATAAACCCACACATGGATAGACAGACATATATATATACCTATAATACATACATACATATAGATACATATGTATACTAACGCATACTAATATATATATAGACACACACATACATATATATATATATATATATATATAT